GACAGGAGTGATTCAGACTATATTTATCTCCTGCCTGCAACAGCAACAATAAAAGAAAACAAAATGTGTGAGTGAAGGTTTCCAAGCCTCTGGCTATCAGGCCAGGAGTGGGACCCCAGGAAATGAGATTCCAGGAGGACTTCTAGGAATAGCCTGGGCTTGAACTAGTTCCCTTCACCACCACCCTCCCTCCATCCCCCCCTCCCCGCCTTTTAAAGCGGTTACAAATATTCAGATGTTTTCAGAAACGAAATGCTGGATTTTGTTTTATTTTGTTTGGGGGCACATATCCGGCAACGCTCAGGACTTACTCCTGGCTCTGCACTCAGGAATCACTCCTGGTGGGCTCAGGGGACCATATCAAATTCCGGAGATCAAACCCTGGTCAGCCGTGTGCAAGGTAAGGGCCCTACCCGCTGTTCTGTCGCTCTAGCCCCAACAAAATACGGTTTTAAAACAAATAAAGAGGGTATTAAATGCCCAGTGTTGCATTTTCTTCATTAACCCAGATAGCCAGCCTGCAGGAGTTTAGGGAAACAGCTAATGTGAAGGCACAGACTGGAAGGCCACCCCAGGAACCCCTCGGAACACAGGCTGGCGGCGATGCCCCGCCCTCCGCAGCCCCCCTCGGCTCTATTACATAAAGGCAGGCTGGAGAGTGATGCAAATAAAGTCCATGACTATGGCAAGCAGATAATGAAGGTGTTGTCCCAGAAAGAACTTTTATTTTAGAAATAAACTTCCGTTTAAAAAGATTCTCCTCCGGGCGGGAGGCTCACTCAGCAGATGTCTCGCATGCGTGAGGCTCTGGGTCCTCCCCTCCCCCACCCCCACAGGCACGTGAAGACATGCAGGGCAGAGAAAAGCCCACAGAGCAGTAAGGACATTCCCCAGCCTCAGTGGAATCCCCCGCCAGGGGAAGTTCCTGTCCCATGCACAACCTCCCAGCTGGTCCACACCCACCCTGGACCCTGTGGTTTGCGGGGGCCGAGGCTGCGGCTGGGGGAGGCAGGAATCTGACCGTTAGCAGGAATCTCACCTCCAGCTCCCAAGGAGGTTTCAGCGCTGGGAACACCCCTTGCCCATCCTGCTGGTCTCCCTCTGGGATGAGATTCTGCCCCTCCATGAAGATTTGTGGTTCCAGCTTCTTCCATAGTTGGGGGGAGGACACCCATCCCAGGGACCTTTCAGAGCACCAATCAGCCCTGCAGGTGCCTCAACTGTTCTTACCTGCGGTCAGGCTGGAGGGGCGAGCAGAGAAACCAGGGGTGGGATCAGCACCCCCCAGCCCCTACTGTGGCCTCATGGACAAGGACATGCCTTCCACAGAAGCAGCAGAGTCGAGCCCACACACAGAGCCTGTGTAAGGTGACAGTCATAGCTCCCTGCCACGTCCCACCTCACTCCTTCCCAGTGAACTCACCTGCTCCCAGGTGCATGGAGCCCCACAATCACTTCCACATCCATGGCCCGTTCATCCATTCACTCCTTCACTTACAGAGTTGGCCACCTGCTCATCTTTTTGTTGTTGTTTTTTTGTTGAGGGGAGATACACCCATCAGTGTTCAGGGCTTATTCCTGGCTCTGTGCTTAGGGATCACTCCTGGCAGGGCTCAGGCATCAGTGTGCAAGCGCCTTACGCACTGTCCTTCCTCTCTAATCCCTTCATCTCTTTTTTCTCTTGCACTCCACCCTCACCTCCAACTGGCTCCTTCATGCTCCCAGGAAGCACCTCAGGTGTCCATACGTCTATGGGCCCGGTGTAGGCTACAACTGCCCCACAGTCTGGGAGTAGAACAGTTCTACTGAGTACAATGGAGCAGGCTATGGGGTGGGGTGGGGAGAGTCTGGGATGCTATTTCCTCTCACTTGCATGGAAAACTTGGGGCATTCCCAGACCCAACCACTTACTAGCACATCAGCACCTTCTTCAAGAAGGCTAAGGAAGGGCTGGAGCGATAGCACAGTGGGTAGGGCATTTGCCTTGCATGCGGCTGACCTGAGTTCGATTCCCAGCATCACATATGGTCCCTCGAGCAAGCACCTCCAGGAGTAATTCCTGAGTGCATGAGCCAGGTAACCCCTGTGCATCACCGGGTGTGACCCAAAAAGCAAAAAGAAAAAAGAAGGCTAAGGGAAACTGGACTTGGGGATCAGATTATGTTCTCAACAGTGGCCACTAAGGACCTGGGGGAGCTGGCAGCGGCCAGGGGCCGTGTGGGCAGGTCAGGGATAGAGGGAGTCTAGCTCTCTGCTCAAGGCACTGTCCTGTCTGTAGTCTCTGCGCCCCTGTGTGTGTCTGGGGTGGGGGGTGTTACTATTTCCTCTGTCCCACTTCCCAAAGGCAGCTGAACTGGGGTCTGCCCTTGTTTCTGGGGGGCTTTAGACCAGGCTGCAGCACTGGCAACTCTGGCTTCAAGCTTCAGCAGTCCAGCTGCACTGATTTGGCCTCTCCCCACCATCTTTCAGTTTGTTCTGTCTTTGTTCGGGAGCCACACCCAGCAGCGCTCCTGTTCTCCTGCGCTCAGGGATCCCTCCTGGCCAGCGGAGACCGGTTGGGACCTCCAGCCTGCCTACCTCCAGCCCCTCCGTCTTGTTGCCCCCTCTCTCCATCTCTCTCTTCTCTCTGAGCAGGGGCTTCCCAGAGCCCTCAGGGGCTGCTCCAGCTCAGCTCGCCTCTAACCCTCGCCTGCCTCCCGTTCCAGGCTCCTGCAGTCGGGCTGTGCAAGCGGGTCTCCCGCCACCCCTGCTCGCGCCCGCGCTGGACACCAGCCCACGGCTCCTTCCCTCCCGGCTCCTACCGGCCTCACCTCAAGGAGCTCTGGGGTGGGGGCGCTGAGTCTGGGGGCGCCGAGCTCTGGGCGGCTGAGGCTTGGACACCCCCTGCACCTCCCAGCCTCCCCCCAAGCCACCTGCTGCCTCACCTCCAGCCGGCCCCGCCCACCCGGAGCGAAGATGCTGCGGCCGCAGCACCTGCCGCGCCCGGCAGCGTCCCCTCGCGGTGACTCCCTGCCTGCAGGAGGGACTGCAGCGGCGGGGCCTTGCCGGGTCCCTCCTGGCCGGGGTGTCCGTCACTCGGCTGGACCTGGGGCACGCGGCCCTGCCCGATTGCTGCATAGAGGGCAGGACCCCCGAGCCACGGTATTCCCTTTCCCCTACGGCGTCGACCCGCCCCCGACCCCGGGAGCGCTGGGGGGCTGCGAGTCGTAGAACAAGCGTGTGTCGGCGACAGTGCCCCGCTGCTCAGTTGTGTGAGAGGAACCTGAGTGGGCTTCGCGCGGCCGTCCGGCACCCCCAAAACGCAGACCTCTGGGGAGGGATGCGCAGCGGGGGCGGGCGCCACCTGGTGGCCGTGATGGGCACTGCGCGCCCTCCTCACCCCCTCCCCTCACGGTGCACGGCGTTCGGAGCTGGTTCTACTGGGCTCACTTAATGTGGGGGCAAGGGAGGAGGGGAGGGTGCTCCCTTGATACGATGGAGGGTCAGACCCGGCCGTGTGTGCGCATATGTATATGTGTGTATGTGTATGTGCACACGTTTATTAGTGTGTGCACGTGTATATGTGTGCATGTGTACACATGTGTATGAGTATGTGTGTGCATGAGTATGTGTATATGCATGTGTATGTATGTGTGTGCATATGTATGTGTGTGCATGGGTATACATGTTTGAGTGTGTGCATGTTTATATGTGTGCATGTGTATGTGTACATTGTGTGCTGTGTACACATGTGTATATGTGTGCATGTGTATGAGTGTGTATATGTGTATGTATTTGTGTGTGTGTGTGTGTGTGTACACAGATGAGGGACAAAGCTGATGCACCAAGACTCCCTCAGTGGGGAGGCTGCACTCAGGGGTGGGGGGTGGGCAGGACAAATCCCAGAGTCCCATTCACAGAGCTTCTCTCTGCCCCTTCGGCAGGATACAGAGATGTGGACCTCTTGGGGACACAGGCAGACATTTCTGAGGGCAGGAGGAAGTCCAGAGATCCAGCGTCCATCTATCTGGTCACCCAGCCAGTAAGCCAGCTGACAACAAATCTGGGAGTTGCCCAAGGCCACCTCCTCCAGGCAGGCTCCCTGACTTCCCTGACTGGCCCAAAGTCCTCCCTTCTCTTCCTCCTCCTTTTTGATTTTAGTTTTCGGGCTACACCTGGCCATGCTCAAGACATGCTTCTGGCTCTGTGCCCAGGGACCACTCCTGCTGGTATTTGGGGGGTCTTATGTGATGCTGGCATTTTTCACTGGTGCTGGGGTTTGAGTGAGGGCTGGTCACATGCTATCTTGACACTGTCTCTCCCCCACCTTCCCTTCACTATTGTTGTTGCTGCTGCAACCCAGGCCAGACGTGTTTTCCGCTGCGGTGCACGCTGGCTGAGCTTTGCTCTGAGTGCTGGTGCTCACACAGTGCTCCCTGGACGAGCTCTCTAAACTGAGGCTTTCAAGGTGCAGCCGTGGTCCCTGTGGCCAGGGGCCACCGATGTTGCACACATGAGCTCTCCAGACCAAGACAACCACACCACTGCTGAGCTTCAGTGCCTGCTAGAGGAGGGGGGGAAGGGTGCACCTCTTTTTTCTTTTTCTGATGTTCACACACCTGACTGGTGCTGCCGGAAATGGCTTATAACACCAGAACCCCAGACAGAAGGAGCTGCTGGGCTAGCACGGGGCATATGTGAGGTCCTGGGGGTCTAAACTCATGACCATATGCTCCCAAGCCAGGTGCTCTCAGCCCTCTGCTGTTCCCCCAGGTCCCCTGATGCTCCCGCTCCAGTCCCCAATCTCTGCCTGCCAGCATGCCCCCCTGCTCCATGTCCAGAGTTCTTCATTTGCCTGCACCCCCCAAGCCCCCACACTATCTGGCACCGGACTGACCCAGGGTCCCCCAGGCAAGCAGCTAGGCGCCAGGTAGCCAGAGTGCTGAAGGGTTTGCCACTGCCGCTGTTCCGATGGCTCCCAGCCCCTCTACACAGGCTGCAAACAGCCACCGGCGAAGGGCTGGTAGAAAGAAATACATTTATTCTCATGTACAAAGCGGTCAGCCCACAGGACCATGACGACAGTTGCACAGAGTCCTAGAAAAATGCGTCTCTAAAGGCAACTCAGAATAGGTAAGGCAGGTGGCCCCCCTCCCCCCAAAACACAGACAGAACAGAGGAGGGGGGCTGAAGCCGCTGACCCGGGGGGCCGTGGGGATGTCCCCCGAGCCCGGGAGCAGGGGTTATGGCCTTGGTGGGGAAGGAAGCCTTGCTGGGGCAGAGGCCAGATTCCTCTCAGGAATGGGGGGCACTCAGGAAAAGGGGTACTCTAGGGGCCACTGAGGGGCTCGGGGTGGATTCTGTCCTGGGGGGGCAGGGTCTTCCAGGGCCTCTCCTGGGGCCCCACAAAGCAAGGGGTCTTTGATCAAAGAGGGGTCTTCAGGAATGGGCTGTCCCCCTCTGGCCTTGCCCAGAGTGGGGGGAGGGACAGGTCACGGGCGGGAAGAGGGGTCCCCACAGTCAGTGACGCCTGCCCACCTGAGCCCAGCTTGCTTCCTCTCCCAGGTGGGTGCCTGGGGAGGGTGTCCCTGCAGTCCGACCCCCCCAATATGCTCAGAGGGCCCCGTCCTTGTCCAAGGAGCCAGGAGAAGGTCACACGTATGCAGGAGTGGGCGGGACTGAGGAGGATGTCACGCTCTCTCAGAGGACAAATGACAAAGTCCGGGTGAGGCTTCAGTCTTGTTCCCAATACACAGGCGAGAAAGAGGAGGCCCAGGACGACAGCTGGCCCGGCTCCCGCGGGGAGTTCTGCTCCAGAGCCCCCGGAGGGCCTCCGGCCAGGCCTGGTGGGCGAGGCCTGGGCGGGATAGGGCACTCGGCGGGCCTCACTCAGCATCCAGGCTGCAGCAGCCATTGACCGGGCCCCCGGAGCCGTCCAGCCCGGGCACCTCATACTCCTCGTCCAGGAAGTCCAGAGAGTTGTTGCTCGGGAGGCCGCGGATGGTGAACTTGTGCGACACCTTGGTCCAGTGCTCGCGGTTGGAGGCCACTCGCTCATACAGCTCGGCGGCCTTGGGGAACAAGTCCTGCAGCAGCCTGCGGGTGGGTGGGCGGCCGACGGTCAGTGGTCAGGAGCGGCTCTGCGGGAGCCAGACTCCAGGAAAACCCATGGGGAAGAGTGGAAGAGTGGGCGTGGGGGGCCGGGGCGATAGCACAGCGGGGAGGGCGTTTGCCTTGCACGCGGCCGACCTGGGTTCAATCCCCGGCATCCCATATGGTCCCCCAAGCACCGCCAGGAGTAATTCCTGAATGCAGAGCCAGGAATAAACCCTGAGCATTGCTGGGTGTGACCCAAAAAGCAAAAAAAAAAAAAAAAGAGTGGACATGGGACTGCGGGCTGGGGGAGGGTAGGACGGTGACAGGGAGACAGCTGTGCTGGGAGCCAGTCTGGGCTCTGTCGTGGGGACCCCTACCCCCGCCCCGCTCACTTGTAGATGGGCATGGCAATGTGCTCCATGAAGCTGATCTGCAGCTCGGGGATGTAGGCCTTCTCCCGGTCCATCATCTCCATGGGCCGGTTGCCCATGGCCTTCTCCTGTGGGCACCCCGCAGTCAGGCCCGGCTCCTCCCGGCCCCTCCCAGCCCAGGCGGAAGCCCCCCCTTCCTCCCCCCCACCCCCAGTCGCTGCCCACATACCAGGTCTCCCTGGGAGAAGAACTCTTTGTAGATGAGCTCCTGAAAGGCCAATAGACAGGTCACATCCCAGCAGGACCCCCACATCCCCTCTCCAGGGCACACCCAGGGGCCTTCTCTCTGGCTGTCTCACCCTCCCCTGCCGGGCGGGGGTGGGGGGGCCCTGGGGGAGGAGGGCAGGCTGGGGGGTGCTGTCCCTCCCGCCTCCACCGCACCCAGCCCAGGGAGGGACTGAGCCTGGGGGGCGGCCGGGGAGGATGGCCTGACGCACCGCGATCTTGCGGGTGGTCTTCCAGCCCTTCGTCTGGTCCGAGAGGTCACAGGAGGTCATGAGGAGGCAGAGGAGCAGTTGGTGGTGCTGCTTGTTGGTGCGGTCGTAGCCCACTGCGGGGAGAAGGTGGGTCAGAGCGAGGCGGACGGGTAAGGGAAGCCCGGCTGGGGGCAGGGGGTGTGGGCGCCCGGACCGCACGGGCTCACCTTCGGCCATCCGCTGCAGGTCCTTGAAGATGCGCAGGTGGTGGGCCAGGTCCGTGGCCAGAATGATGTCCCGCATAAGGTCCAGCATGCGCTGATAGTCCTGGGCGGGGCCGAGAGGGGGGCGGCGTCAGCCTCCCGCAGGACAAACCCCGCCCCCCGCAGCCCCCTAGCCCCTGGGCTTGCGCCTCCAGCCTGCCTGACGCCCGGCACCTGCTCACCTTCCGCGAGAAGTGGTCAAAGATGTTGCACCCGTGGGTGTTCAGGATGGCGATGGCCTGGGCGAAGTGGTGCCTCTGCGGGGCGGGGGGGGGGGGGGGCGGGGGTCAGTGACGCAGGGCTCTGGGGGGCTCCCGGGCTGTCTGCAGCAAGGCCCTGCGAGCCTCCGGGCCTCAGGCTGTCACACGGCGACAGGAAAGACGCCCCCAAGCTGCTCTCTGGGATGATCTGCCAAATTCTAGATGCACAGGGTGGTGGGGACTCCGGTGGCCTGTGGCCCCACACCCGCACCCAGCAGGAGAGGCCTGCAGATGGCTGGGCTGTGCGAAGGGGACCCTCTGGAGTGGTGCTGGGGCGTGGAAGTGGGGGGGGGCGGTGGGCCTCAGAATCTCAGACTGCACTCAAGGAACCCCGTCTGGGGTGGGCAGACCCCAAGCAAACTAGGGGAGGAAAGTTGGCTTGGGGGCAGTGGGGCCCACCCAGGGTGCTGAGAACCCGGTTCAGGGCGGGGGTGGGGGCTCTTCGTAGACCAGGGCTGCGGCAGGACCCACCCACCCGTCCAGGCCCCACCTACCCTGGGGCTTCTGCCTCAGGGCAGGATGTGGGGTCCTAAGGACCCGAGTCTCAGTGTGACCCACAAGTCACTGGGTTTTGGGGCATGGGGGGGGGCGTGCAGGGACAAGGGCTGAGGCAGAGTGGGGGGTACCTCCATCACAGAGCCCTCGGAGCTGTAGAGCGCAGCCAGCACAGATTTCTAGAAAAGTCCAGGAGAATTCTATCAGGTCCAAGGCATGGCTGGAGTTACCCTTTCCTCCTCATCCCTCCCCACCCAGCCCTCCCTCCTCTCCCTCCCCTCCCCACCCGGCCCTCCGTCCTCTCCCCCCCCCCCCCCCCCCCCCCCCGCCCAACCCAGTCCCTGCCTCTCTTGAGGCCCTGCTCAACCCCTGAAGCCCTGGAGTGACTGCAACCACCTCCAAACTCCCTCCTGGTCTCTCGCCATCTGCTACCATCCCTGGAGGGCTACTGCCCGGACACCTGGGGGATGTGCCGGGATGAAGAGGGTGTGGAGGCTCACCGAGGCCACCTGGAAGGAGTTGTTGGTGCCTCTGTGGTCCAGGTCGTGACACATGCAGGAAACAAACAAGGCAAAGATCTCGATGTCCCTGGTGGGAGCAGAAGGTACAGAGGGGTGTGAGAGGGCTGGGTCCCGTCCCTGCCATGGGAGAAGTGTCCTCTCTCTCTCTCTCTCTCTCTCTCTCACACACACACACACACACACACACACACACACACACACACACACGGTGCTCCCGGTCCAGGGCCGCTGCCGCATGTGGCAAGAAATGCAGCCACTCACTCGAGGTAGTTGGTGAGCTCCAGGTTCTTGTAGAGCAGGTAACAGAAGTGGGAGACAGAGAAGGCGTGCATCCAGTTGTGGTAGGGCGGGTCCCGGTAGCCCTTCTTCACCATCAGACAGAACCTGGAGGAGAGGCGAGAAGGGCACAGGGGACTCAGCACTCCTCCTCCAGGAAGTCCTCCAGGCGCCACCCAGCAAGGTCTGGGTTTGCTCCCTGGCACCGAATGGTTCTCCAGCATCACCAGGAGCAACTTGAGCACAACCCAGGGTGGGCATCCAAGCCCCAAAATTGGGCTCCCCAAGTCCCCCTGGGAGTGATCTCAACTCTCAGAGGGAGGGAAGACGGCCCACAGGTGGGGGAGGGGGTGTTGGGTTGGTTCCGGAAGCACATACCGGGCCAGCGTCGGGCAGTCGATTTTGTAGTTATTGATGAAATTCATGTCCTGCAGCATGCTCAGGATGGCCTGGCGGGGGAAGCAGAGTCAGACGCACTGTCCCCTTTAGGACGCGCACCCTCACCTTGTCCCTTCTGAGGGGGCCACACTCATAAGCTGGGAATCTTAGACCTTTACATCTATACTAAAGACCCCTAAAATTGTGAATTTCACATCCTCCGTGGGGAGAAGGGGGGGTGTCTCGTCACTCTTAGAGCCAGTCACCCAGAAAACTCTAGAAAAGCAGCGTCAGACCCCGACCAGGGCCCCATGCTCTGGGCTTGGGGGTTTCTGGGGTAACCCTTGGTGGGGGTCAGTGTAAGCTCCAGTCCAGGTTGAGACCATGGCCCCGGAGTACAGGGAGCCAGGGAGGCAGGGAGCAGCAAGTCACGAAGCTTCTCGCGAGAAGCTGCGTCCCCCAGCCGACAGCTCACCATGGAAGTGTCGTCCTCAGGCAGAGAGCGCGGCGTGTAGGTGAAACTGGCAAAGTTGGAGTCAATAGCAGACACAGGCTGGATGCCGTCGTGAAGCAGTTTGGTGTACTCATCATCAGACACCTGCAGGGCGTCAGCCAGGGCATTTGAAGATGACCCCCACCCCCTCCCGCGCCTGCACCCTCAAATCCCCAGTCCCGAGGACCTCCTCCCCCAGCATGCGTTCACTTGGACCCTCCGCTCTGGGGACAGCTGTTGATCACCCCCTTCTCCCAACCCTTCCTGTGTCCTTTGCCATGACCTAATCCTTCCAGATCATGCTAGAAACACCCCACCCTGTTGTGACACCCCCCAAAACACAAAGGCTTTTCATAAACACTCCTCCGTGCACGTGTGTGTTAGGGAAGAGGAGGAGGCATCCTCATCACTAGCCGAAGCTCTTCCCACCACAGCTGTGACTTATGCCAGCAGCTCTGGGATAATCAGGCCAGGACACATGCGAGGCAATGTGGGAATGAACCGTGGTCACGACATGTGGGAACAAGAACCCGGGCCAGTGTTGCTGCCACGAGGGCATGACCCCATCATAAAGAGAACTCTGGGGAGGGGTCTCCTGCCTTCAGGAATTTCCAAGATGAGAATTATCCCTAGAAGTGGGGAGTGGGCTGGCTGCCCAAGTCCCTCCCTGGGCTTGGCAGTTCTCTGACCCGAAAACTAGGCATCTGCCCCAGCCTCATCCTCAGCCCCATGGAGATGCAAGGGGTCTGGGAAGAAGGGCAAAGACCAGATGGATACTCTGCCTGGGACCCCAACCAACAGGGCAGAAGCTCTCTGCAGGCCTTACCTTCATGTGGTACATCATCATCTCATTGGCCAGGTGGCTGCGATACTGGGCCTCATTCACTTTCTTGTACAGGAGGGACTGGGGAGACGAGAGGGAAAGGTGGGGAGGACATAAGAGGGCTGTCAAGTCTCAGGATGCCTTTCCTGCCCTGCGCTGGCCCCCCAGTCCGAGCCTCCAAACCTTAGTTCACACTAGGGACCCCTTCAAGCTTGTGTGCAGACCTTGCCTGCTCCCTTCCCTGTGTCCTCCTAGCATGTGCTCCTGCCCCATGCACTCCTGCACAGCCAATCCTCAGTGATGGAATCTGAGCCCACTATTGGTGGTGAGCAGCAAGGAGGATGGGACAAAGTCAAGGAACATGGGGGTTGGATTCCCAGGCCCAATATTTCCTAAAAAGAAGTCAATCAGGGGTACTGGGTTGAGGCTTCTTCCAGAGAAAGCAGAAAATGACAAACGAGCTTTCCCCAGATCCTGGGGATTGACTGATAGGATAGCTAATAATATCCCCAATTTTCAGATGGAAAACAGGCCAGAGGTGTCCAGGGTGAACTGAAGCTTGGCCAACCGCCCAGCATGGGGCTGCTGAGACTCAGGCCAGGAGAGGAACCATCTGGACAGAGCTGAGGGGTCAGTGCCAGGAGAGCAGAGGGCCCGCCCGTGTGCTGTCTCACATGGGCGATGCTGATGCCACAGTAGATGGAGAAGGCGGTGGCCAGGTCCTCGTCGAACTTGCTGAACCATGGTCCGTTGATCTTGTTCACCAGCTCGGCCACACCGATGACCTCTGGAAGCCAGAGAAGGGCTAGGACTGGCAGGTGGCTGTGTCCACCACAGGGGCTTGCCCTCCCGGAGTGTCCTCAGGGGACACGGCAGCCCTTGGTTCAGGGACACTGGGGCAGAGGCAAAGAGATGCCAAACCTTCACTGACTCCGCCCCATCCTTCTCCAGCCCCGCCCACGCACCCAAGCCCCGCCTAGTTCCTCCAAGGCCCCGCCCACCCCGCGCAGGCCGGGCCCCCGCCCCAGCCAGTGCGCACGCGCAGACACACCCTGGTTCTCATTCTTGATGGGAAAGCAGAGGATGTTTCGCGTGCGAAAGCCGGTGCTGTCGTCCACACCGCGGTAGAAAAGCGGGTGTGCATAGGCGTCTGGGATGTTCAGTATCTGCCCGGTGGTCGCCACGTGACCCGCGATGCCCTGGTCGGCGGGGATGCGGATTTCGTAGGTCTGCGGGGACAGGGAGAGAGAGGAGAGGGGCACGGAGGAAGTTAGTGACCCAGCTGGCAACCTCACCGGGCCGACCCCCAGCGCCCACCCCACCCGGCCCCTGCAGCGCAGCCGGCCTCACCTCGTCATCCACCACGCCCCCGTCGAACACCTTGGCCACCAGCTCATTCTGATCCAGCAGGAACACGGAGCAGCTGCGGGGAGACGCGTTCGGTTCACAGGGCCCCGTACCCCGCTTCCACGACCCCCACACTTCTCTGTGGCTTGAGGCAAAGCCCAGATTTCGGAAGCCTGGAAAGAGCCATCCGTGGTGGCTCTCCTTGGCACTAGCCGCCTCCATCCCTGAGTTACCACCCCCCCTTTTGAAGACCCTCCTATGTGCATGGTTCTGTTACGAGCAGGGGGCCTGTTGCCAAGCAAGTCCCACCCCTGTCACTGAGGTTACAGCCCAGTGAGGGAGACAGAACTGGCATGAAGGGTCACACAAAAGTGGCCAGGCCCCAGGGCTGGAAGAGAGAGTACAGCAGGTACTGCACTTGCCTTGCATGCGGCGGACCCTGGTGACCCTGGCTCCATCCCCAGCATCCCATAGGGTTCCCCAATCCCACCAGGGGTGATTCCTGAGTAGGGAAGGGCAGGAGGGGACAGAGCCTCAGCCACCAGCTCATTCTGATCCAGCAGGTAGATGCACTCACATCTCAGCTTTGCTGAGGTTTCTGGCCTCTGTGATGATCTCCTGGAGCAGGACGGAGACGTCATCTGCAGGAGGGAGACGCAGGAGGGAGGTGAGCGACAGGCTGGGGGGTTGGGGGCACCACTTCCCACTGCCCTGCCCCCGGGCATCAGCTCAACATGCACCCCACATCTCCTGTGCAGAGGGACCATGCACTCACCCAGGTGAGTGAAGAGGTTCTTTGCCACTTGGAGAAGCGCCTAGAAAGAAGAGAAACAGATTTCAGGGGGGGGGGCGGTCGCATGGCTGGGGCCACTCTCTCCTGCTTCCTGCCTCCAACAGCCCGGGGAGCTCCAACTTGTCCTCTGTGGCCCTCCAGACAGGCTGGATGTGGGTAGGAAAGTGGAGGAGCGGGAGGAATAGCGCCAGGGGCCACGTGCTCCCGCCAACCAGGCGTCGCTGTAGTGCAAAGTTTGAACACTAGAGGGAGCTTGTACACAGTGCCCGCGTCGGGTGGGATTCAGGCCCCCACAGGCACTAGGCCCTTTCCCTGGGCAGGGGCTGGGGCTGGGGATAGGGAGCCTGCTCCTGGCAGGGCACCGGGGCAGGGCACTCACCTGGCACTCACACTTGAGCTTCTGCTCCTTCTGGAAGGCCAGGGTGTTGGTGAGCACCGTGCTGGTGTAGTGGAAGCAGTGCTGGATGAGGCGCTCCTCCTGCTCTGTGAACCTGGGGCAGGAAGAAGGCTGTCTGTGTCCTCCCGTCCTGTCCCCCCAGGACCGTCAACCCAGCTTCAGCCCCTTCGGAGGAGCCCCGAAGGGACGTCACACCTGCTGGCTCTCCCCACCCTGGTCCCTCCGCCTACCTTTCCCACTCTCCTCCCTCCGTGTCCTGAGAAGAAACTTCGTCCCGGGCCAGGGACCATGTGCCCCTCACCCTAGGTCCAGATGCTAGTGCCAGGAAGTCACTTGGCAGGTGTTGGCAAAAGGTCCTCACTCCACCTGCCCACCTCTGCCCTGGCCACTGACTGGCCCAGCTGCAGGGATCTGGGCCCCTGCTTTCTGGGTTTGAGGCAGTGTCTCTGCCCCCTGTCATTGGCCCCCGCTCTGACACAGGTGGGACACAGAGATGTCCAGGGCTCGGCTGTCACCCAGATCCCTTCTTGTTGTCCCTCTACCATCTCTCCTCCAGGGTCATCCCAGAACCCTGTCTCACCACCAGCAGCTCTCTTCCATGTGAACCCCCACGCACTCTGCAAGGGCCTTCCCCAAGGCCCACTGGTCCACCAGGCTGGACACAGGAGTGCTCACTAGGTGCTTCCTGAGTGGCATCAGTGCTCACCATGAGGGTGCTTCTCAGTTCAAGCTGGCCAAGACCCCACCTCCTCCCTGCCTCTGCAGACTTTGCTTATATAGGTGCTTCCTGAGTGGCATCAGTGCTCACCATGAGGGTGCTTCTCAGTTCAAGCTGGCCAAGACCCCACCTCCTCCCTGCCTCTGCAGACCTTGCTTATATCTAGATAGTTTCCTGGGGCCACACACGGTGATGTTCAGGGGTTAGTCATGGTTCTGTGCTCAGGAATCATTCCTGGTGGTGCTCGGGGGATCATGTGGGATGCCCGGGGTTCTAAACCAGGTTGGATGCAGTGAGTGCCTGGGAGTGGATAATTCAAATTGCAGAAAATGGGCAAAGAGAAAGGGTACCGAGTTAAATCTCAGCATGACTGAAATAACCCCAAATAGATGGTGGACAGCCACCAGTTACTATACCTTGCCCCCACAAGGCCTAGCACCCCTACAATCCCCCAGACTTTGTTTTAGGGCCAGTGGTGCTCAGGGGTCACTCGTGACCCTTGCTCAGAGAACATGCCTGATGGTGCTGAGATTTTAATGAGGGTGAACACTGCCCAGGCATGGTAGGCAAACACCTCAACCTTCACACCTTATCTCTGGCCTAATCACAAGGACTTTTTTGTTCTTGTGTTTTTAAACCACATCCCGCATTCAGAATTAAATTCTGGCACTGTGCTCAAGGATCAACTCCTGGCGGGGCTCAGGGATTCCTATGGGCTGCCAGGGATTGAACGTGAGCCTACCACAAGTAAGATGAGAACCGCCCCCCCCCCCCCCGCCCATATCATCTCTCCAGCCCCTCCCATATTCTTTTATCCCACAAATGATTCAGCCCACCACAACAGGCCTGGAACCTCTGTTGTCCCAGGAGAGCTCTGCCCAGCCCCGCAGCTCTAGGAGGTCCTCAGCCTTGGTCCATATTGCCCCACCCAGACTCACAAGGCTCCTTCCGGCTTGTTGAAGGCGCAGGCCAAGGCTACCACCTGGTCAGTGGCCCGGCTGATGACAGGGACGCAGAGCATGGCCTGCAACTCACAGCCCAGCATGCTTTGCAGCTGCTTCACATCCTCCTGACAAAGGGCATCGGGTCAGGGTGGGGTCAGGGAGAATGTGATTCCTCCCTCGACTCTGTACCCTGAAGTTCCTGCAGGGCAGGAAGCATTAGGACGTGGGGAGGTCGGCTGCAATTCCCCCACACTCCGGGTCTTGCCTCCTCCATCCCTGGGGTCCAGGGAGCTTTGAGGTCGAGACCGCAGACTGCCCCCTGCCTCCTCCCCTGGCCTGGCTTACCGAGGTGAGGTCCTTCAGCCGGATGGACTGCTTGTCTTCTACCACCTGGCCCAGGCGTCCTGTGGTCAGCTGGGGAGTGACAGAAGTCTGAGCTAGGGCCCTGCCCTCCCCAGGTCAGGGGTCTCAGAAAGTCTCAATACCCTCCTCTGCTCATTCCCATGATGGGTGGGGTCCAACTGAGGAACAGAGGGAGGAAGGCGAGTGTGCCCTCCCCCAACTCCTGCCTTTGGTGAGAATAGGTCTGTGGTTTTCTATTTCATGAGATGTGAGGGATCAAAGCCAGGACCCCAGACATGCCAGGCACTAGGTCACACACTGAGCCACCTTTCTGTAGAGGGCTGGGCCAGGGCAGCAAAAGCTGATCCCAAAGACTCTCATGGATCTCAACAGAGCTCCAAGTCCAGAGTGACAGCCATAAGGGTTAACAGGTCCCAAATGAACCTTCTGTAGATGAAAAGAGATCTCTCCCAAGGAGCCCAATCACGGAGGTTTAGTACCAATCCTAAGTAGACGGGCCGGAGAGATAGTACAGTGGGTAAGGTGCCTGCCTAGATGCAGTGGACCCGTGTTCGATCGCTGGCACCCCATACAGCCCCCAGAACCCCGTCGGGAGTGATCCCTGAGTGCAGAGTCAAGAGTAAGATCTGAGCAAACCTGAATATGGCCCCCAAATAATAAAATAACAATTTTAAGTAGACCCCAAGATCCAGTTAATTCTCATGTTCCAAGAAGAATTCCACAGTCAGCCTTAGGTGCCCTGCAGACACCTGCCCAGTCCCCGGCCCCGGGGGATTTACCGGAAAGCTGATCTCTTGTTCCAGCACTTTTTCTCCCGTGACCTGAAGGGGTACAGAAGAGGGGGGAGCTGAAGGAGAAGCAAGGAGGCGTTCCTCCAGGGACAGCCAGGTGCAGGGGCCTGGGTTCTCACCTTACAGGAAAGTTGGAGATTGTCCTCGGACACCAGCAGGAGGCAGCAGCGGGAGGCCTGGGTCTCCTGCTGCACCTGTGTGAGTCGGGGACAAAGACAGGGGCTGACGGAGGGTCTGGGGCACCCCCGTTCCCACCTTCTCACTTCTCTGAGGCTTCTCAGGTTGGAGGAGAGATCGGGCGGGATGGGAATGAAGGAATAAACTGAGACAGAAAGGGCGGGAGGAAGATGGGCCAGGGAGGAGGGCGTGCACACATGGGGACTCACGTATTGGAGTATTTTGAGCTGCAGGGAAGAGGCGTCCAGGTCGTAGAGTTCCCCTGTGAGACAGACAGCAGGATACAAGTGAGAGAAGACACACAGACTCCCGCGGGATCCACCTGCCAGTTCCGCCCACAGATCACCCTGCAGCTCCCCGTGGCACACCTGGCCACGCCTCTCATCAGAGGCCCCGCCCACAACACGACCACGCCCACCACCCGGGCCACGCCCATTGCCTACAGTCACGCCCACCACTCAGGCCACGCCCCGCGGGCCACTCCCTTGGGTGCCAACCCACTTTAGCCCTCACCGCATAACTGCAGAATCTTTTGGTCCTGGTCGGTGTAGGCCACGCTGTCCTTCTGGTCTCTGCCATCCGCCACCTCTGGGGGGTTCTGGGCTGCGCAGCGCTCACGCTGCTGCAGGGTCTGCACCCTCCGCAGGGCAACCAGGGTCTAGGGCGGGCAAGGGGTCAGTGAGCCACCTCGATCTAGCTGGCTGCCTGGGGCTCCTTAGCTTTGCTCATGCCTGCATGCCTATTGCCCCCTCCCCTACTGGGGGCTTCCAAGGTCCTGGAGTGCCCCTCGGTGTATGCACAGGTAAATAATACAAGGTTTGCCTCCAGCCCCAGCCCCAGATTCTGGAAGAGTATAGTCCTTGAAAAACAAAATCATGAAGTCTCAGGCAGGAAAAAGCGTCAATATCACTATGGAGAGCAACTTTCTATAAACAAGGTGTTTGGGATTATCTGCCTAAGTAGGTCAGCGGCTAGCCCTATTCTTGCTGGGAGAAGTCATGTGACTTAGCCCAAGGGTGGCAGAATGGAACCAGGCCTGTCCAGACACACCCGGCCCCCTTATCTGTGTAATAACCCCATCTCCCCCAGCCCCACTCACATGCTTCTCCACAGCCTGCAGGCTCCACTCCTCATTGTCACTCAGCTGGCCACAGTGCACCTGAAGGGATGGGGGGGGGGGGGAGTGTGTGACAGCTATCCTCACTGGCCGCCTCGCTATGCCAGCATGCCCAACACAACAGCTCTGTCCCCACCAACACACCAACACACACACACACACAACTCTCTCTCTCTCTCTCTATCTCTCTCTCTCTCTCTCTCACACACACACACATACACACACACACACACACGCGCGCGCACCCCTCAGGGATACACTTATCCTGAGCAAGCAAATAGCACCAAGTAAAACCCCTTCCTCCAGGAAGTCTCCGAGGGCTGATCCAAAGTGGAACTTTTCCAGTGCCTGCCTTTCCAGTTGGCCCTCGGTAGCACAACCCAGGAATCCCGGAGGGGAGCTGGACCCCTTTGGGCCTGGTTATGAACCACTGGCTTTAGCCTCGGCTCCATCCTTTCTGAGCTGGGGTTTAAGTTGCTCCTTTGTCCGGGTAAGGGAGGAGGCGCTACATTTAGGGTGCAGTGGCTGTGCCTCAAGGGTGCGAGAAGGAAGTGACAAAGTACTCGCCTCCCATGAGGCTCTCATCACCTCAGCAGGCCGGCTTCCACCCTGCAGCAGGCCTAGAAAGGCCCAGTGACTAGACTAAAGTCGCACAGCAGAAATTAGCAGAGCTGGGGTGCACCTTCCACTCATTTCTCCACCACCACCAGCCCCTCCCAGCCCCACTCTCGCCCTGACCTCCCCTTCCACACCCCTGCCCATCGTCCGAACTGCAGAGCCCCTCCCCATTCCTGTGTGAGTACTTAGAGAGGAAAGGCAGGGAAGGCCTCGGTCCCAGGGCTCCGTGCCTGCAGGCCGCCCCCCAGTGCCCGCCCTGGGCTCCCTCCCGCTTCCCTCTGCTGCAGGAGCAGATGGGGAGAAGGCCGCCTGCGGGTTCTCAGAAGCTCACGGTCGGGGGGTGTAGGGAAGAGCAGGGTGTAGGGTGTAGGCTTGATTTGGGGGTGCAGAACCTCATACCTGAGGAAGACGAAGATGAGACTGAACGGGGGGAATCTAAAGGCTGAGGGAGAAAAAAGGGAGCACCTGCAGGGAAGCTTCTAGAACTGACCTCGGGTATGGGGCAGACCATCAGAAGCCTGGAGAGAGGCCAGACAGGCAGGAGGCAGTGCTGGCAGTGCTGGGTGGGACCCCCAAGGACCCAGGAGGGCTGGTGTCCCAGGGAACATGCTTGCTCCCTTCCCTCCTCTTCTCTCCCCTCCTCTCCCCATCTCTCCCCTCCCCTCCCCTCCCCTCCCCTTCCTTTCCCTCTCTTCCCTTCCCTTCTTTCTGAACCACACCCAGCAATGCTCAGGGTTACTCCTGGCTCTGCACTCAGGAATCACTCCTGGCAAGTGCTCAGGCTACCATATGGGATGCCAGGGATCCAACCAGGGTTGACCGTGTGCAAGGCAAACCCCCTACCTGCTGTTCTACCATTCGGGCCCAGGGTGTGTTTTCTGTGCCAGGCTACAAATTAAACATTAGCTCCATAGCACTGGGGATCCACAGCGACTACGGCGGCGGGTATAGCATACACTGAAGGGAGGCTCCGGGGAGGGCTGCAGGAGGCTCAGGCTGCCAGGACGGGGTAAGGGTGGACGCTGGAGGGTCCTGGGGGACAGGCCTGCGTCACAAAACCCCCTGAGCCCCTGACCGCTAGGAGTGAAGGGCGGGTTATGGTGAATCCTACCATCTTTTCTCACCTCCTTGTTTGTTTGTTTGTTTGTTTGTTTGTTTGTTTGTTGGGGGGGCTATACCTGCGATGTTTGGGACTTACTCCTGGCTCTGAGTGATCTAACTCAGGGGTCACTCCTGGCAGGGTTCAGGGAACCATATGGGATGCCGGGGACTGGACCTGGGTTGGCCGCATGCAAGGTAAACACCTTACCCGCTGTACTATCTCTGGCCCCCTTCCCCCCTCCTAGGAGAATGGAGAGTTGGGAACCCTCCAGGGCCACGTGGTCCCAGCACTAAGCTGGAAACAGCATGGGAGCCGCTGAAAGCTGGGGGCAGCAGGCAGCCCTGGTCACACTCCTGGACCATTCGTGTGCTCATGAGACCCTGCGTGCTCCTCCACACATGCCTCTCCCCCAGGGATGCTCAAGCTTGCACACAACAGTCACTCTCAGTCACACTCATGCACTCAAACTCAGTCACATGCACACACTCACACCCAGTCACACACAGTTACACTCACATGCAATCACACATACATACAGTCACACACGCACAGTAGCAATAGTCACATTCACAGTCATACAGTCACACACAGTCACATGCTCAGTCATACTCGCACATAGGCATACCCACACACAGTCACACGCATCCTAACACAGTCACATTCACGCACTTACAAGTCACACTAACACAGTCACACACACACTCACAACTCACACTAGCACAGTCACATTCACATGCACACATAAGTCACACATATACAAGCAGTCATATACACAGTCACACTCAGTCATGCTCATACACACAGTCACACTCTCACAGGTACAGCACACTCAGAGTTACACTCACATACAGTCATATTCACACAAGTCACACACAAGCAGTCACACACACAGTCACACTCATGCACACAGTCACATGCAGGCAGTCACACTCACATAGTCACACACTCACATGCTCACACAGTCACATTCTCACACAAGTCAGTCACACACAGTCATGCTCACACACGTAGTCACACTCACATGGTCACACACACAGTCACCTGCACACTCATACACGCTCACACGCACGGTCACACAGAGCTACACTCATGCACACACAGACACAGTCACATACTCACATGCCCGGTCACACTCACACAGTCACACATGCGGCTTACACACGCTCACCCCAGCGCTGGCTCCTGGGGGCTGTGGGCGTCAGCACTCGGTAACGGGCACCAGGGCCACCCCAGCCCATCCCAGTCCCCCATCCCAAGCTCAGCATGGCTGATTGCACAAACATTACCCATAGAAGGAGGCAATGTGGCTGGCACAGCTGGGGGCGTGGGGGGGTGGGCACAAATCACGCATCAAATGCCAGAGACCAAGGGCCGCCCACTCCTCAAAGGGACTTATTATCCCAGAACTAGAGAGCACAGCCAAAGAGTCTTTTCACACAAAGAATCTGTAATCAAGGCGCTGGGAGCTGCGAGCTTCAGGCACCCCTGCGCCGGGCTGAGGGAACCCACACCCACAACCCCCACACACACACACTCACACTCACACAACGCCCGCTTGCCTTCCCCCCTTTTCTTCCCCCGTGTTCAGCGCCACCTCCCGCAGCACAGCCAACCTGGGCTGCGAGCAGAGTGCTCTGCACCCTGTAGCAAACAGCCTGGCCCGAACTCAGCCATATCCACAGTGGGTGGATGAGGAGGAGTGGGTGGGAAGGACCCCCAGGGACACAACTCCGAGAGGGGATGGGGGTTTGATGAAGCAGGAGGTGGCGCGGCAGCCCCCCCTCCCCTGCAAGGCTTTTTCCTACCCCTAAAGACGGCTGGTACCGGCCTCCTGGCCTGCCCCGAGCCTTGGGGGCAGCATCATAGCTGCCATCCTGCCCTCTGCATGCACAACTGATCAAAGGTACGCCTGGAGGGGGGCGCGGAACCAAAGCCACAGCACAGCAGGAAGGATGCTTGGCCGACTTGGGTTTGACCTCTGCATCCCATATGGTCCCACGAACCCACCAGGAGTGATTCCTGAGAGCAGAGACAGGAAGCCCTGCGCACCGCCAGGTATGTCCCCCAAACAAAAAACAAAAAAGCAAAGATCTTCCCAGGAAGCAGGAGGTGCCTCCCTTCTGGCCCCACCCTCAGCACACACACACACACACACACACACCACCGGAAATCATTCTAAGAACCTGGAGCAGCAAAGGCAGCGTGTACCCCCACCCTGATCCTCTTGGAAGCCACCAGCTCCCCCAGCACAGCTCGAGAGGGCTGGGAGCAGGGCCGAGCACGGTGCCAACTGTGGCTTCGCTCCCCACGGAACAGAAGCTGGGGGGGGGTGAGGAGCAGCTTGTGGGAGAAACCAAGCAGGGGTGCGCCTCCCCCTGTCAGGCAGATGGGCGCCGGGAGAGCAAGCCAGAGCCCCTTCCTCCCGCCTCCCCCTCCTCCTCCACCACTGGCCCCCGCAGCCAGCCGCTCCGGAAAGGTCAGGCACCTCGGAACCTTTAATTCCATTTTAATGAGCTCAGGAGGCGGCCCCGGGACACACCAAGATCTGTTCATTTATCTCCGCCCCCCACGTCGGCCTCTTACGGAGGTGGCGGTCACCTGGCTGGGATCCAGCCTTCCCAGCAGCGATTTGGGGGTGCTAACCTTCTACTCCTCAGACAGGACGAAGATCTGGTTGGGAGGGATTTTATTTTTTTTTAAAGCATCTATTTTCATTGTTGTTTAGTTTGGGGGCGTAGTTGTTGGTGTTTGTGGGCTACTCCCTGCTTGATGCCCTTGGTCCATCCTGGCAGTGCTCAGGGGACCCCGTGGTGGCAAGGACCAAACCCCCATTTCCTGTGCTCAGGACAAAGATCTGTCAACCCAACTCACCTGAAGTGAGTTGCACGTCACCCCATCGCCTGACTCAGCTGAGGGTGGGCCCACGCAGCCCGTGGGAGGGGAGCATCCTCAAGCCCCCCCCCACCCAGCTCCTGCCACTGAATCTGTGAGAGTCAGGGTCACCAGGTTTGGCAGTGCCTCTCGGTTCCTTCCCACCCCACTGTTCCTGTCCCCTCAACCCTGCGTATCCCACAGGGCACCCTGGAGGAGGCAGGACTGGGCCGGCCAGGGCTCCATCGCAGGCAGAAGGTGCCCACGGGGCTCTACGACCCTCCAGGAATTGTTAAGGAGGCAGCAAATGGGATCTACCCACAGAGCTGGGGCACCCCGGAATGGGAGAAGACCAAGAATCTTTCTGTACCCCTCCCAGCCCCCCAATCCCAGCCCAACTCACTGCTTGCTCTCTCTCAGTGCAGCACACACACACATGCACACACACACACACACACACACACACTTACACATATACATGTGCACCCTGAGCAGTGTCTCTTACCAGGATGACAGCTGCCACAGCCTCGGCCTCCTTGTCCAGCAGCGGGATGACCAGCACTGAGGGGGAGAGGGCAGTGAGGTAGTCCTGCAGGGCCGGGACCCGGGGAGGGAGACAAAGACAGAGAGAGAGAGAGAGAGAGAGAGAGAGAGAGAGGGAGGGAGGGAGGGAGAGAGAGGCCGGGACAGCGACACACAGAGACCCCGAGGCCCAGAGAAGGGGGGCGGGTCCTGAAGTCATCGACATCCCTACATCAGAAGGTGCCCCCTCACGCGACAACTTCCTCGCGATCCCTGGGAGGGAGGGAGGCAGGTACGGCTGAACACCCCTATTTTACAGATTGGGAAACTGAGGTCTTGAAAGGGGAAGTGACTTGCCCAAGATCCCCTGGCAAGTCAGGGCTCCTGCCTCCCAGTCTTGTGCACTTTCCACAGCGAGACAGAGGACAGAGACCTAGAGAAACTGAGACACGAGGCAGAGACGTGGAGGGCAGGGGGCACGGAAAGGAAGGGGTGGCGGGGAGAAACAGCATGACAGAGAGCAGGACAGCTCGGGTGCCGCAGGCATAAGCACATCCTCCCTACAGCCACGAGGGCCTGCAAGCCCTAGGATGTACCAGGCCCTTCACATGCGACAGCCCCTCTGCTGGGTTCTACTGTGCCCATTTCACAGGTTGGCAAGTCGAGGCTCAGAGAGGTTAGGTACATGAGAGAGAGAGAGCGTTGGATGGACTGCGAGAGATTCAGAGCCAGAGAGAGAGAGCGACAGAGGTGACGACGGGCTGGGAAACCCACGTGCTCTGGGCCCAGGGCCCGCAGCCCCGCTAGCCCAGCCTGGTTCCGTCCTTACCTTGGGTGTCAGGGGCCAGCGGAGCCCCCAGCTCAGCCAAGGGCTTCCCCAGTCGGTCCGAGTTGACCAGTCCATTGCAGGTCAGCCTCTTCCTGGAGGTCACTGCCTCTCTGAAAAGGGTACACGAGCCACCTGGGTGAGCCGAGGACCTTAGAGGGTTGGGCCCCACCCGGGAACACAGCAGGTGGGGTCCCGACACATCACTGACGAGATGGACCCTTCGGGCCTGGCCTACGGGGTCCCGTCCTTCCTCTACCCTTGTTTTTGGTTTTTGGGTGCTCCAGAGTGCTCATTCCTCGGAGGCTGAGATTGCCCGCAGCCCAGATTCAGTTGGGCAGCACCCAATTTGCGGCAGGCAGGCACGAGTGGAAACGTCGGGGAGCCCCTGCGCCCTGGCTACAGGGACAGACAGGCCCAGTGCAGCCTCCAGAGTCTTGCTGGAGGACCTGGGCAGGAATTCCCTAAGGGCACTCGCCCCCTAGGACAGGGGAGGCCACGGCACTGAGCCAGGCTGCCCAGTTAAATCCTCTTGTGTTCTTTGACCCCCGACGAGTGGCCTGACCTCTCTGAGCCTCTGAGCGAGAACGTGGTAGGGAAACCATCGTCCTCCTCAGAAGACCATTTGCTTAGCAACGTCTGTTGCTCAGTGGAGGAGAGGCCCCCAGACAAAACCATCAGAAAGTTTCTCAGAGGTTGCTCCAGGCAGAGTCCCAAGAATTCCTGTCCAGAGCCATAGTACAGCAGGCTGGGCACTTGCCTGGCATGCAGCCCACCTGGGTTCGATCCTTGACATCAGAGCCCCTCCAGGAGAGTGATCCCCGAGCACTGCTGAGTGGGCCTGAAAACTCCTGCCCCTACCGTGGTTGAAGGGATTCCTGTCACCATCTCCATCTTCAGCTGGAGAAATTAAGGTGGCAGGAAATCCCCCAGAGTCCCCCCACGAACCTGCCCATGGCCCCAGCACCTACACTTTGAGCCTGACCTGCAGGGTGCGGCTGGAGGGGGGGTGAAGGGAGAAGGAGGGGAAGTGTGGAGGAGGGGGCAGTGGGGGCGAGAAGGATTGAGCTGCCCCCAGCCCAGCCTCTGGCGCTTCCTGTTTAATTAAGCGTCTGATTCTTCACCAAATGTCACTCCCTGATGATTAATCGTCTGCACCTCTCCTTTCTGGGTGCCTATCTCCACCGAATGGTGCTTGTGAGGCAGGGTAGAAGCCCGCCCGGGGGACCTGGGGCTCTGGTGTGTGCACGTTGGGGGTCCCCGGGGAGCCCTGCAGACCTCAGGTGCCCAAGGCCAAGGGCGGGGGTCGCTGGCCCAGAACACAGCCTCCAGGAAGGCAGCACCCAGCTGGGAGGCTCCGAGAGGCCCGCGCGGCTCTGAACGTGACCGATCTCTCCAGGATCCCGGGACGCACCAGTTCCAAATCCCTAAGAACCATGACGCGTCCCTACTTCCCACCTGCACCGCCTGGGCCTTCGGGCCTGGCCCGCGGGGCCCCGCTCTTCCTCTGCCCTTGTTTTTGGTTGTTGGGTGCTCAAGAGTGCTCATTGCTCGGAAGCCAAGGTTGCCCGCAGCCCAGGTTCAGATGCTCCTGAGGGGTTGGAGGTCTCACCCAGAGCTCCCGCGGGCCAAGCACGCGCCCCTGACCTCTGAACCATCTCCTTCCGGCCCCGGGCTCCAGTTCTGCCATCTCTCAGTGAGGCAGAGGCGTGGGACACCCGAGGGCCAGTGAGGCCACTTCCGCGGCCCCTGGCTGAAGACAAGGCTTCGAGCAACTGGGTGACCCCAGATGCACCCTGGACATTGGGGAACCACAAGGGGGCGCTGCCGGCCCTGCCAGCCAGTGAGGGCCACAGCCCATGCCCAGCCCCACCTGCGGCCTTTCTTCTGCACCAGGCCCTCCGCGCCTTGCATGGTGTCATGGCTCTCAGCCCCTCACCAGCGCCAAACCCGAGGCATGGGAAGACCTCCTGGAGACCCATCTCCGGTGTCCCTGGGGTGGCCCTGCACAGCCTCAACTTGTACTCTCCACTTCTGCCCCCAAAGTGCCGCCCCCACCCCCACCCCGGACCCTGGCAACCCTCTCCCCGTTCCGTGCGCACCTCACTGCCCCTCCTCACAGTAGCTCTGACCACTGTCCCCTTCCCACTTCCAAGATACTGCAGAGCCCAAACATGACACCTGAGCCCTGGGCCTGCAGGAGCCTCTGCCCTAGCTCCATGCCCCACCCCCACCCCCAGCCACCCTGTGGGTCACTTAAACCCACCCTCCTGGGGCTGCAGTGCATGCTGTTCACAAGATACGCCCCGAGTCTGATTCCCAGCACACCACTGAGACACCACCAGCCCCGGCAGAGCTGGGCTGTGTCATTGGGGGTGGGTCCCAGCGCTTCCAAGCACCCCTGGGGAAGCCGCCCCATACACCCCATGCTGCAGGGGAAAAAAAGGCAGGACGGTATGCTGCATGCATGCAGAAAGCTCGAGTGTGCTCTCCAACACCACCAGCGACCCCCCATGAGCACCGGGCAGGAGCAGTCCCTGAGCATTCTCAGGTGTGGCCCAAATCCTATCACCATGCCCCCTCCACACCCCCCCAAACCAGAGCCATAGCGTGTTTCCCCAGCTGCACACTGCCTCGGGAGCCTTCCACGGGAGGTCTGCCCTGCCACACGCAGACCTGACTCGGGGTGCCCCGCGGCCACGTGAGCACCAACCGTCACGCAGAGGCCCACGTGAGCGCAGGGCCAAGGGGCACGACAAAGGGAGGAAGGGCAGCCCCGGCCTTTCTAGGGAAAGGACGGAAGTGGAGTCCCAGAAGGCTTCCTGGAGGAAGGGACGCCTGTCCTGGAGGAAGGGCAGAGGTTGTCCGGGCAGGCCACGGAACGGCGAGTGCAAAGGCTCAGAGAGGAGCCGGCAAGTCTGCGCCATGTGGACTGGAAGGAGGCTGTCACGGGATGGGGAGAGCCAGTGTCCTGGGGTGGCGCCAGCAGGGTCCTGCGGGTGGCAGGACCCAGGGAGGGGCTTGAGCTGGAGGGCGGGGGTGGATAGTCAAGTTCAGGTTTGACTTCAGGCCGAGGGGGAAGGAAGATCTGAGAGAGCAGAAAGCGGCCTCAGCACGGCCCCGTTAGGCCCAGTCAGCAGCAAACACCACAGGACCCGCCCAGCTGGGCTGCTCGACCCCCAGCCTGGGCACCCAGCCTCTGCCCCCAGCTGCTGGCCCCAGGGAGCTCCAGTGGCACCCACAGACCGGGATTCCCCCCTCCGGGGTGGAGGGGGCTGTGTGCCAACACCCTGCTTCCGACCCCACCCGCCGGGCGGTGGTAGATGGGGGGGGCACGAGGGGACTCCCCGCCCGCCTGGGCCAGCTGTCCAGGTGCGGGCTGGTGACCCAGCACAGCACCGGGGCCATGGTGTACCCTGGCAAAGACAGATGGGCGCAGAGCGCGGGGGACGGGCGTGGGTTTATGGCCTCTCCGTCCTTTAGCAACTATTTGCTCAGCCGAGATGAGTAAAGGGAACGGCCAAGCGGGGAGCCGAGTGTCCGGCTCCCCGGCCCCTCCGAGGGCCCCGTCACCAGGCACCCCTTCCTGGAGCCATGGCCTCGCGCTGCCCCTTCACCTGTGTCTGGTGTGGGGGTTGGTCTGGGGTCCACGTGATGGAAGGGTGAAACTCGGGGCTCCTGCCCTCACAGCCACCTCCTGTTCTTGGAGCTCCCACCCCACCCTGTGACACCCGGCCCACCTCGCCCCCCACCCCCACCCCCAGCCCAGGCGGGGAGCTCAGACAAGCAGCTCGGGCGGGTGTGGGCGGCGTCTCGCTGCAGCTGGAAGGTTCCAGGTCTGCTGCGCTCAGCAGCGGGTAATCAGCAGCTTGGAGATGGCAGGAGACACAATAAGGAGGAGGCAACTGGGGCAGGGGCCTGAAATAGGCTGGGAGACCGGGGGTGGAGGTGTGATGTCAGCAAGCAGGAGGTGAAGCCTCCTCGAGGACACCGCCCTCAGGCAGCCTTCCAGGATTCCCCGTGTTCAGGCCCCGGCAGCCCTCAGGGTTCAGAGCCGAAAGACCCCTCTGACGGCGTGTGGAGAGGGGGCAGCCAATGGGCGCAGCTCAGGCCTCTGTCCTCACGACCCTGTGTGGTCTGGTTTTGTTTGCTTCTGGTGTGAGGGCCGCCCCCGGCATTGCTCAGGGCTTCGTCCCAGCTCTGCACTCAGAGGTCAGCCCTGGCAGGCTCAGGGATGGTACGGGGTGCTGGAAATTGGGTCGGCTGTGTGCAAGACAACTGCTGTTGGCACGGCCCCATCGCCTGTCTGAAGTCGTGGTGCAGAACCGGGCTAGGGGCTGCACAGGGCCACAGGAGGGGCAGACGCGGTCTGCACAAGTCCAGTGCAGGGCCGCTGGTGAGGGGCTGCCGTCCTCCCTCCACCGCGTCAGCCCCATCCCTGCCCCAGGCCCTTATCAGTCTGATGGTCGCACTCCACGTCCCACCTGCCCTGCTGTGTGCCACCCGCCCCAGGGCCTCAGCCTCAAAGTGTACTGCCGCCACACCCATTTGATAGGAAAGAAGATGGAGGCTGGACACAGGCCTCCACACAGTGACCACAGGACCACCAGCCGGTTCTGAGCACCTCCTGTGTGTGTGTGTGTGTGTGTGCATGCATGCATGTGTGTGTGCATGCATGCGTGTGTGTGCATGTGTGTGTGCGTGTGTATGTGCAAGCATGTGCGTGTGTGTATGTGTGCACGTGCGCGTGTTGGGGTGTGGGGCTGGGTGCTCTGGACCCCTGTCAGCTGCTGTGCTGACAGGCCCTTTCATCACCTCCATCCTGTAGGTAAGACCCAGCAGATCCTCAGACTGTCCTGGACGGGTGTGCGGGGTCCCCAGCACTTCACGCACCGTGGGAGGCAGCCCTCACGGCCCCCGGCACACCAGGAGGAGCTCCGAAGGTTCCCAGCACTGCTGAGCCCTGAGCACGCTGGCAACAGGCCATCCTACCCTGCCCTGACAAGGGCCTGACACTGTGGCCCCTGTTGAAAATGAAAGTAGGGGCTGAGGCATCAGTACAGCAGGAAAGGCATTTGCCTTGCATCCGGCCAGCCCTGGCATCCCATATGGTGCCCTAAGCACCGCCAGGAGCGGTCTTGGAGCACAGAGTCAGGAGTAACCCCTGAGCACTGTCAGGTATGGCCAAAATAACAAAACAAAACAAAAGAGAGGAAAAGGAAAAAAAGGATAAGAAAGAACCAGGTACGACAGAGGCTGACTCCCATTCCAGTGCTTTCCCTTCCACGCCCCTCTGGTTCTCCCTCTGGAGACCATCCTGCTGGGGGGACCTAAGTGTAGTGGTGCCCAGCAGCCCTGAAGCTGGGGGCTGGAGCAGGCAGGATGCAGCTTTCCCCTGAGGACCAGCCCGAGACCTCCCCCAGCCTGGTCCAAGCTGCCCCTTTGATCCCGGCTCCTGGGCCGCTTCCCTCAGCCTGGGCTCGCACCCTGCAGCCGTGGCCCAGGTGGCCACCAAGAGCCAGCATTCCTGCCCTCAGCACTCTCGCGGGGCCATTCTGCTCACGCCAGGCCTGTGCCCTTGGGCACGGTCCACCCTGTTCAGCCGCCTGATGAATTCCGAGGGCTCCAAGGGAGGGGCAGGGGGCTGGGGACGCGCAGAGCAAGCAGAGCCCTGGCCTAAGATTCCATGACCACCCACATTCTCTCAGAGAGGAGAGTGTCACAGTCGCTACGGAATGGGTGCTCAGTACCTCACGTGGATCGGCTCATTCCACCCCCCCCAAACAGCCCTCTTGTGTTTGGGGATCACCCCAGCAGTGCTGGGCAAGCAGTGCTGGGGTTCGAACCCAGGGCACCGGCATGTGCCAGCCCTTGGTGCCATCCCCCGGCCTGCATCTCCTTACAGCAGCAGACAGAGGCCCAGAGAGGTGGACAGTGCTGCCCATGGCCTAGAGCTCGCTGCTGGGGAACTGGGGTTTGAGTCCAGGGCGCCGGGCACCAGGCTGGCTCTAGACACCGGCTCACAGCCTGCCCACCCGTCCAGCCCAGGCTGTGAGCATCCCCACGCTTCTCCAGGCCCTGACACCCCAACTGCTCTCAGGAGCAAGTGACAATGCTGTTGGGCAAACACCGTCCCAAGAGACTTTCCCCTCCGCTGGAGCTGGGAGCCAGCACAGGGCCCTCTGGGGCAGGGCACTCCCTGGGCAGAAGAAGCCTAGCCTGGCCCTGAGAACCTGGCTGGCACAAGAGGGTGACAGGGCAGAGGGGGCTCACCGGATTTGCCCCTCCTGAGGCAGCTCATGTTGGGGGTCCTCACACACCAGCCGGGACTGGCCGTCCAGCAAGTAGGTGTAGACAATTTCCTAGGACAGAAGGTCAGATGGTGAAACACTGGGTTGCCCACCTGGCACAGGTGCCCAGTGGTCTCTCTCTCTCTCTCTGAATAGAAATTAATGTACATTTCTTACCTATACCCCCAAACCTGGCATGCACACATGCTCGCTCGCACACACACACACACACACACACACACACACACACACACATTTTCTTGCCCAACTCAATCTCGGCAAACAGTAAGCAAGTATCATCTCGGGCCCACGGGAGGGAAGGAGCTGAGGATGCCCCAGAAATTTCCCGCCCATCTTTGGGACACAGACAAGTCAGCCACACACTGTGACACAAGCTAGGAGGGCGTTCTGGAGGCCGTGATTGTCCAGCAGGGTCTGCAGCAGGGAGGACACCCTTCCTGGTGTGGGGGACAGGGAGGAGACTGGCTCCTGGCTGCCGAGGAGGTATGTAGAGATAAAGAGCTGGGGTACTTGGTACACTGAGCGTGAGGGTCTGAGTTCCTAGGGATGAGCTAGAGGGACCAATCAGCGGGGAATGCTGAGCCCGCCAACAGTTTTTTTTTCTTTTTGGGTCACACGCTGCGATGCACAGGGGTTACTCCTGGCTCTGCACTCAGGAGTTACTCCTGGCGGTGCTCAGGGGACCATATGGGATGCTGGGAATCAAACCCGGGTCAGCTGCGTGCAAGGCAAACGCCCTACCTGCTGTGCTATCTCTCTAACCCTTACCAATGTTTCTGACTGATGACTCCACCCCACCGGGCTGCCCAGAGTCACCTCAACCCAGCAGGAACCCTGCCCTGATGCTTCCTCCAGGCAGGACTCCCCAGTTCTGTGCAGCCAGGCATCCCGCTGACCCCTAGGTGCATAGTGGCCACTCTGCGCCCACTCTGTTCTGCAGGAGAAAGGGGTCTCGGGGAAGGTCAGGGGCAGGTCTCCATGGCTCATGCACACCCCGGGCAGGGGCCTCGCGGGTCCCAGGGCAGGGAGAGGCGGTCAGGGCAGAGCCTTCCGGAGTCCCTGTCTCCATGCTTGTGGGGGGAGGGACCCAGCCTACAAAGGCGAGGAGAAGCCCCCACCCCACACAGGGCCCCCCACCCCCAGAGGGGCAAACTTCCGCGTGTCCGTCTGTCTCCCGCCCCCTCGCGCTCAGCCCCGCAGGATAAAATTAGCCCGAGCTGACTGCAGGGAAGGGGGTGCCGGCTGGGCTACGCCATCTGCACGGGGCTCGGGGCTCGCTGCTGGCACAATGGTGCTGATGAGAGGGCCAGGTGCTGGGCGGGGACCTCCCCCCACCTCTTGGGGCGCAGAGCTGACCCCAGCTTCTGGGGCACGGGCGATGACTCCCCAGCTCCCCACTCCACCGGGTGTGTTTGCAGGGGGGAAGGGAGCGAGCGGGACTCCCTGCAGCTGGGCTGCCCTGGCCCTTGGCAATCTCCTGGTGGCGGAGGGAGGGGCGGGCACCAGGGAGCACTTTGCCATGTCCAGGAACCCAATTCCTGGCACAGGCTCTCCACAGCCTAGCCCTGGGGACACACTCAGTGCAGGCACATGCCCAGGGCACCCAGCCTGTGAGCATGGATGGACGGGCCGGCCGGACAGCTGCCTACCGTTCCATCTGCCACCGCCCTGTCTGCGTTTCCAGATGTGCATGTGCCCGGGGACAGATGTTGCCTCCGTCCCTTCCTTCTCCAGGAGGAATTATTTTTGGGTGTCAACACCGCCCCCCCCTACTTCCTACCAATTTCACGCCCAATAAAGCTCCCTCATTAGCCTTCCTCCTGGGCTCTGAATGTCTTCGTGGAGGAGGGTTTTTCCAGAAGGCAGAGTGGAGGGAAGGGAAGGAGGATGTGGGGGTGGGGAGCCCCAGTTGCCGCTGGCCCCTCTCCTGTGTGACCTTGGGGAAGTGTCCTCCCTCTCTGAGCCTCTGGGGGCTCATGCATCAAGCCCAGCCAGGAGGCACGAGTCGGGGAGAGGAGGAACGTTCTGAATGGGCTGCAGTGCCCAGAGCAGAGGGTGTCCAGCATGCGCTGGAGCAGAAGGAGGGCATGTGGGCAGTGTGCTTCCGGCCCCTCATCTGCCGGTGCCCCCACCACCAACCCCAACACACCCCAGAGGCGCAGGGGTCTGGGGGAAGGGTGGGGGGATGCACTGGCCACGGGAGCCCGAAGGGGGGCACAGGCCCTGTCTAGGGCTCAGAGAGAAGCTCTGCCTCTCCAGAGCCGATGCCCACTCTGGAATCCAGTCAGGGGGACGCGGCCACTCAGGCTAGGCCCCCAGGCAGCAGGGAAGTCCTTCCCTAAGTCCCCCGCTGCTGTGGATGTTCCCGCACAGACTCCACCACGTCCTCTCGCTCTTTCCTGGGTGCTGTGATCTTCCCAGTCAGCATCAAAGTCCCTGCTTGGCTCTCCCATGCTGGGATTCCAGTGTGAGAGCATCCTTCCTCCAGGAAGCCCTCCAGGAATACTCTCACGAGACCTTGCAGAGGGGCAGGCTGGATCTCTTGCTTCTCAAGCCCGGGTGAGGCAGTGCCAAGCAGGGCAAAGATCTGAGGAGCAGCAGGGAAGGCGGGGCGAGGCACCTACCACTTTGGGCAGCACAGCTGAGAGGGCCTCCTTGATGGCGCGTCGCAGGCCCGCCCCGTCGATGGCCGAGCCCAGGTTCAGTAGCGCATCCTGGAAGAGAAGAAATAGCCGTGAGGACATTGGCCAGCCCCATCGGGGAAGCCCCTCCTGCCGCAGCACCCTGAGCTCCCACTCCTGGCTTAGAGCAGGTCCTGGGGCTCCCAGACTCGGGAACCTCAGGACATCGGGATGCCCCGAATCCGACAAGTCTCTGAGTCCCAGAGTGCCCAAGTCCCCTCATATGTACTATTAATGCTGTATATTAATTACAGATTTATGATTATCATATCATTCGATGACACCATTATGTAATAAAATCATAAATTATATAATTCAGTGTATTGATTAACGCTCTCCCTGCCAACTTCTCAGCTCCAACGTCTTTCCCTCTCCCACCCCCACCTGGTCATCAGTCCAAGTAGAGCTCAGGACAGCGGGGAGGGTATTTCCCCTACATGCACTCAATCCGGGTTCGATCCTCGGCATCCCATATGGTCCCCCGAGGACCGCCAGGAGTGATCCCTGAGTGCAGAGCCCGGAGTAACCCCTGTGCATCACCGGATGTGAGCCAAACCAACCCACACCCCTGACAACAAACAAACAAAAAACAGAAGGGCCCAGGACTTAGCAAGAACAGCCAAGAGGCCAAGCCTTGACTAGACCCCAATCTCGAGTCCTGGCATACCAGGGAAGGCATGAGCAGCCATATGTAAGGAAGTGTGTTGTCACCACCCATCCAATCTGCACCTTCCCTTTGTTTTCACAGCCTGTCGCTGGCTCTCAGTCTCTGGGCCATGGGGGCAGCGAGAAGGGGCCTGGCAGAGTGGACAGGTGCAGGCTGGTGGCAGCAAGATCCCCAATACACTCCCCGCAGGGCTGGTCTCCTGTCTCATGTTTTCAGCCTAGTGATGGGCTGGGCGTGAAATGCAAGAGGCCAGAGGCTGGAACCCGAGAGACAGCACAGTGGGTAGGGCGCTCGCCTTGGACGCGGTTGACCTGTGCACAAGGTTTGATCCCCGGCGTCCCATCTGGTCTCCCCAGCACCATCAGGAGTGATTCCTGAGCATCGCTGGGTGTGGCCCCCACCAAAAAAGAAGTCAAAGGGTGCTGGAGCGCCCAAGATGAAAAAGTCACAACAGAGCCAGCCCTGGGCATGAGGGGAGAGTGGCATTAACCTTGACTGCCTCCAGCCTTGCTCAGGCCCTGTCCTTGCAGAGCCGGAAAGGGGACAACAAAGCTCCCTGCTCCTCACTCTGTTAACTCGGCCGGAGCCCGGGGGATCAAAGAGGAAGGTGATGGAGCAGGGGACCCCGGGCCAAGGCAGGCCTGTGACTCATGTCACCGCTCAGCCGTGCCGGCCCTCCCCACCAGCCCTCAGATGTTCCCTCTGCTGTCTGCCCCATGGAGAGCTGGATCTGTGCTCAGAGCGCAGGACGGGCCAGGGCCAGAACATGATCAAGGGGCCCGACCAAGTGCCCAGGCCCGATCGCGGCCACCACACGGTCCTCTGAGCGCCACCAGGGAGGAATCTGGCCGCCCCCCCCACACACACACACGCACACTGTGGCCCAAACTATCCTCACCCAAATACACAGTGATTAACTGGAGGATAACTGAGACACAGCTTGAGAGGGAGGGTCTCCCGGGGACCCCGAGCACGAGCCCATTGGGAAAGGGTGGCTGGCCAAAGCTACAGTGCTGGGAGCACCAGCTAATAAAGCTCTCGTGGAGGTGACTGTGGCCTCACTTCCACTGTCAATGGCTGTCTCCAGGAGGGAGTAAGATGAGACTTGTCCAGAGGAGGGGACCCACACAGGAGGGGAGAACCGGAAAACCAAGCACTCCGCGAGATTAAGAAGGAAAGGGAGAGGGTGCGCAGAATACACTGGGTCCAGGAGACGCACGACTCGCAGTCTTGGCTCTGATCTTTCTTCTGGCAAGGCCCAGGGATAGCTTAGGGAGTGAGTGAGTGAGTGAGTGAGTGTGTGTGTGTGTGTGTGTGTGAGAGAGAGAGAGAGTGAGAGAGAGCGAGAGAGTAAGAGAGAGCGAGAGAGATCTCTTTCCAGGTAAACTCGGACTACACAAACAGAGGCCACAGGGAGAAATTGTGGAAGCAAGCGGGTGTGCAACAATGGGGTAAATGCCTGTTTTTCAGGGCATTTGTGGGTGGGGGGACCCCTGCATTAGCATCACGAGGAGGCTGGGGTCGAGCCTTCACCTCCAAATGCCACCCCCACCAAATATAAAGTAACAAAATAGCAGACTAACACCCAAGAATGGCCGAGATCAGTACCAGGAGGATTACTCCATAGCTTAGAGGCCAGCCGGGCATTCTAGGGGAAAGGGCAGCTCAGATAGAGAAGGGAGCACCAAATAAAGGGTGTTGGGAGGATCCTCCCAGGAGGGGAGAAGCATGCTGAAAGTAGGCTATAGACCAAACATAATTGCCACTCAATGCCTCTTTTGCAGACCACAGCACCCAAAAGGAGAGAGAGAACAAAAGGGAATGCCCTGCCACAGAGGCAGGGTGGGATGCGGGGGGGGGGGGGGCGGGGAGAGGGATACTGGGATCCGTGGTGATGGAAAATGGGCACTGGTGGAGGGATGGGTACTTGATCATTGTATAATTGAAACCCAAGCACAAAAATTTGTAAGTCTACAACTGTACCTCCTGGTGTCTCACTAATAAAAATTAAAAACAACAACAACAACAAAAGCAAATGCCACCCCCACCAGCATTTTCTCAGCTCCAGTGTCCACCCCCACTTCCACCTGGCCCTCAGTCCTGGGTTTGCAGGAGGGGATAGCAGGAGGGGATTTCTCTGCCAGTGCCCACTTGGCACAGCCTAGAATCCCTCTCTCCCCCCTCACCTTTCTGTCTTGGGGCTCTGTCTCTGTCCTCAAGAGGGGAAGTCACTGAATCTAATCAAGACAATCCCTCGGGGACGAAGCGATAGTACAGACAGCAGGTTAGGTGTCTTCCTTGCACACACCAGCCCGAGTTCAACCCCAGTCGTCACCAAGCGTGACCCTGAGCACAGTCAGGAGTCAGCCCTGAGTACTGCTGGGTATGGGCCCCAAACAACAACAAGAAAGACAATCCCCACACGGGTGGGCCACTCCTCCTCACACTTCCCACTCTCAGAACCATCATCCACCCTCAGCCGCACAGCCTCCTAGAACCCGCAGGTGCACCCGGGCATGACTACCTCACAGCCCGCCAAAGCTCAGCGTAGACAGCACCCCACAGCACACAGTGTGGCTTCCAAAGATCCCCGCTTAGGTCTGCCAACTGAAGCCATTCAAACAAGGAAAACCCAGATTGGGACAGGGGTGGGGTGGGCTGGAGCGATAGCACAGCGGGTAGGGCGTTTGCCTTGCACGCGACTGACCCGGGTTCGATTCCCAGCCAGGAGTAATTCATGAGTGCAAAACAAGGAGTAACCCCTGTGCATCGCTGGATGTGACCCAAGAGGCCAAAAAAAAAAAAAACAGATTTGGATGGGGGTCGGGAGAAAGGGGCGGAGCAGGGGCACAGAGGCTCTGAGGGGTCCCCCTCCATCAGAGAGGGGGTGTCTGCTATGTGTGCGCTGTGGGGCTTGGAAGAGAGGAACAAGGCGGGGAAGCACATTGAGCAAGGCCCCAGGCTGGGCACAGTGGAGTCTCCCCATTTGACAGATGAGGACACTGATGCCTCTCAAAGAAGCCACAACATCCCAGGCACAACCAAGTCCAGAACCTCCGGCCCTTCTGCTCTACGCTGCCTGCTCCCTGGCCAGGGGCTCAGAGAGAACGCTGTGTCCTTTGTTCTCATTGGTGGGCTCTCCACCTGCCCTTTGCTTGGATTGGGCGGCGGCCTGACCTGTCCTTTACCACCATTGGTGGGTGTCTCACTGGCCTTGGTTCCGACTGGTCTGTCTCCCCATGGCTCCCTGAGACCAAAAAGAAATGATTCCACCAGGGAGCAGAGGGCTGGCCGGGGGCAGGAGAGAGAATCTGAGGGGAGGAGTGGGAGGGAGCGAGTTCCTGAGGTAGGGGTGCGGCGTGGCTCAAGGCCCAGAGGCCCAGAAGGAGAGGAAGAGCAGACTCAGGCGCCTCCACACTCGTGTTGCTGCTCCACGCACCGACCTACCCACCACATGCACACCCTCACAGCCATACGCACGCAGAGGTAAAGCACACCCCCATGCACTCACATGCACACACACACGCACACACATACACATACACACACTCTCACACACCTTCACACTTTTATGCATGCACACACACACACACACACATTTTTTTCTCTCTCTCTCACCTACAAACACACACCGCCCAGGCTTTGAGGGGGGCAGAGATCACGTTTCGTAGGCTGGCAGCTTCTCTGAATGTGCATCAGCATAAAGATTGGCATGACCACCAGGCCCTGCCCAGCACCAGGGAGAATGCAGAGCAGCTTGTTTAGTTTGACGGGACAGGGGGCGGGCAGGTGAATGGTTGGAAGGAGGAATGAAGGATGCGGGGGTGGAGGGGCTGGTGAGTGGATGGGTGGGTGAATGAGTGTGGGGGGTGAACGAGTGGGTGGGTGGGTGACCGGATGGTTGGTTGGGTGGATGGGTGCATGGGTAGGTGGGTGGGTGAGTGGGTAGGTGGGTGGGTGGGTTGAGTGGGTGGGCTCCTGGAACCGATAGCATTCTCAGCTCCCACTCCCCCCCTCCGCCCTGCAGCCTGTGACCAAGAGTTGAGCCGTCAGCACCATAGACAGAGCCGCTGCCCAGGTACCACCTAGGAGAGCCAGACTGGGCAGGGCGGGGCTGGACCAGCAAGTCTGCGCTCACCGCTCACCTGCCCGCAGGAAGCTCTAGCATAACAGGTTCCTAATGCCTGAGCGCCCAAGACCATGGAAAACCAGAGGCCGTAGGTTAGCTTTGGGGCCTTCTGCAGAGGGACAGAAGCCCTTCTTCAGGCCAGGCAGGGCACTGCTACCCCCTGCTACCCCGTAAAGCCCCCGACTGCCCTCATGTTGCCTGGATTTGCCCCCGTCTTCCCTGTGGGGAGGAAACCTC